GCTATGAGGACAGATTGTAGTATACTTCTTTGCAGTAGACTTCATTAAGGTAAGATTTGACACACAAGCTCAGGTAAGGGAGGATGTTGGTGAAGAGAACACCTAGAGCCAGTGTGATCCAGGCAGTGCACATATCTGGGCCTTGATATGGGAGATCCAGCAAAGCAAGGAGGCCAGGGTGGTGGGAGCCAGGGAGAGCAGAGAGAGGTGGAGAGGAGCCTCATGCTGACACAGGGTTTTGGGGACACTGGGAGGACTCAGTAGTTGCCTCTGAGTTAAAAATAAAGGGCGTACCAGTATCAGGGTTTTGACCAGGAATGACATGAACTAACTTCAGATTTAAAAGGATACTAGTATTTCTGTGTTGAGAATACATTCTAGAAGAACAAAGGTAGACACAGGAAAATGAATTTGAAAAGTATTTCAATTATTCAGTAATCAGTCTAATCAGAAAGATTTGTTTGTGAGTGCAAAGTACTTTGTACACTTGCCTCTGATAGTTTGAGAGACTCAGCACAGCCTCAGCCTGGGCATGAGCTTCTACAGTGTTTTAAGCCTGCTGTTTCTCTTCCCAGCCACTGTCTTATCATCTGTAGATGAAAATCAAACTTTACTCATCTTTCTATAAATTTGTGTGTGTGTGCATGTGCATGCGCATGTGCTTATCTATAAAATCTAATGGCATAAATAAAATGAAAATATAAAGGAAGTGAAAGAGTATGTAGTCTGCCCTGCAAATCTGTGTGTTCTGTGTCTAAGGATTCAACCAACCACAAATAAACATACTTTTTAAGTCATGTCTATGTTGAACATGAACAGACATTTCTTCTGTTATTATCTCCAAATGATATAGTATAACAATTTACATATACATTACATTAGGTATTATAAGTAATAAGAGATAATGTCAAGTATACAGAAGGATGTTCATAGGTTCTATGCAAATACTATGTTACTTTCTATAACAAACTTAAGTTTCCAGAGATTTTGCTATCTCAGAGATGTTCTAGAAACCTAAGATACCACAAGATGTCTGTAATGTTATCGCAGCTTAACATAATTGCAAATCCAAGCAGAGTACAGCCCAAAATCTTGATCTTGCACTTAATCCAGGACATAGAGCATGCTGGATTCAGAACCAGAAATCTTGAACTTACATTCTGAATTTATGACTCTTTAACCATGTCACCTTGGATAAGACAGCTTCTGGAGGAATTTTCCTCCTCATTTATGTTTAAAGACATTATAATACTTGTATCTCAAAGACTTTTAGAAAATTCAGTGTTACATATGAATCAAAGTCTGTTATTAACTGTAAAACACCAACAACCTGAGTTGTTTTGCTATACCTCCCTCACAAGCCTACTCAACCATAGGCCACATACTCTAACTGGCGTGAAGTCATAATGAATCCTTCTTCTTATGTAAGTTACATTAACTCCTTGAAGGAATAATTTCTTCCCACTTCACAGTGTCCTTAGAAACTAATAGAGATTAGAGCAATACCAGGCACTTAACAAACCATTTTAGCAAATGGATAAATGAAGGTATGATATTAGAGGAGGAAACACAGATTTGAGAATTAGCTTTTTAAAATAAATATTCAAACCATGACACTGGATGCATTCATTGAGAGAGTGCAGAATCTGAAGAGAATAATGGAATTAAACACAACTTGGGGGACAAACACAGCAAGAATCACTCAAGAACAAAGGGGGAAAATTAGAAAGTAAACAGATAAATCAGAATCATCAGCATTATGAAAATGTGAAAAGTATCATCAAATAGTATTATTCAATAAATAACTTCCGCTCCAAAAGGATCCAAACAAATTTCAATTAGCTGCCATTTCACCAGTCAGAAATTTCTAATAACCATCCATTTATCTAATAACCACACTCTAGCACAGAGATAACTCAAGTTCCTAATGAGAGCTTCAAGATTCAAAAGTTCCTTGTGAATTATCAAAGGATGATAATTTGGTGTCCGTTGTAATTTTAATATTAATTGTGTTGTTTGATTACTGCTAATCCACATATGATAATAAGTGTTTTTAACCAGAACATTTGCTTAATCACAACCTTCTATATCCCTTCTAAGTAAAAGAAGTTTCAGTGAGAGCGAGGGGAAATGCTGCACAAAAACACATTTTCCCAGTCTGCTCTTTAGGTACAGTCGGACAAACCAGTCTTGCAAAGAACCTGGCCAATCTTCTCTACTCCTCTCCAAATGCACGTTGTGTGCTTCTAACTGATGTTTGGGATTTCACCTGAAAACATCAACAATTTGTCAAGACAAAACTGGGCCTGTGTAAAAGACAGGATGTTCAAGACAACATACTCAGTTCTTTTAACCTATTATGATTTTAACATTTATTTTCATCACTGTCATATTTGAGGATTATAACTTATTCCTAGAAAGACTAGCATCTAGGCAATAAATAGTTAAAACCAGAAAGTTCACTCCCTGTGCCCCATGTTCTTGTTTCCTTATCTCAACCCCTCCTTCCCTGTGGTTCAACAAAATGAATAATGCCTTAGACAGAGTTTTTGCAATGCTAATATTTGAACAGTAAAAGATACCTTAAGACCTTCATCAAGATTTTTTAAGGCCTCATTTAATGTCAGTGTCAAGGTTCTGTGAGGAATAATTAATAGAACAAAACAAGGTCTATGTGTCCATCGATTGCCAGGGAATTTATTCAGGTAACTCATTAATGCTGAAGGGGGTTCTGCATGTAAATCCTGAAGCCTCGATAGGGAAATGGGCCCCAATGATTTTTCCCCCTATAAAAAACACAAACAATGACAAGTATAAAAGCAGATAACCTGAATTTCTATACAAACAGCTATATGGCTTGTAAAAGTTTTCCATTTACATCCTGTCACCTCTTCTTTTCACATGTATAAAAGATGGGACAATTATTTCAACAAACCTACCCATATAAATCAATGCAGTTTTGCTGTGGGAAGACTGGGTGTTTAAGGCATTTAATATTTCAGCATTGCCAGATTATCACCGGGATCCATTTCGCTTTGTGGTCAAGTGCATGATTAGCACTGTGACAGGATATTGGCCATTTTCATAGGAAGATCTGCAAATCCTAGTAAACAAATACCAGTTGGAAAAATTAAGAACAAGTCTGTGGACTGGAATGCACCCTACTTGTAATGGGAACAAAAAGCTGGCAATCAAATCTAAAGAAAAAGCTAAATCACAGCAGAATGACCTACTTTAAGGCATTTGCCAAAGAGGCAGTGTTTTTAGACAGCTCTTCTGAAGTAGCGTCTTTCTGTCTATGCCATCTGCAGATTTATTACTCTGCCTGAAAAAAAAACAACCAAAAAAAAAAAAAAACCCAGCTCTATTCAAATGATACTAAGAGCATGGTCTACAGGAAAGATTCCAGTATTGTGGGTACCACACCCACACCTACTGATGTGGTCCAAGGTTTTGCTTTAGAGGCACCTAATTAAGAAACCCTGACTCATTTACATGGAGACGTTTGATCTAAATTACACTCCAAACCGCACCAAATTGGGAGCATCTGTGAATGTGAAATGTTTGTTCCCTGTGACGGCTAGAACAGGGCCAGCTCTGGACGGCACATGTTCAAGTGACGAAAAATATTTCACATGTAACGTACTTCTGAGACCCACTTTTCCACTAATAATTCATAGTGAGCCTAACCAGTATCTGTACTTCCACAATTATTTCAGGCTGTGAAAAATTATGTCACTATTTTTTTTTCTAAAGCTAGAAAGAGGTAGAAGACCACCCACTTTGTTTGTTGTCATTGATAAAAGGCCTTATGTGCAGCCAATAGCAAAAAGGCAAAGCTGGATAGGGTAGAGGCTGGTCATTATATATATCCCAACTTGGGATCCAAAAAATGCAGAGTGGTGATCTAAACGATAACTCCCCAGGATTCTCTCCTCTCCTTACTGCCTTAAGTTATCCTATCTTTTCACTTGGCTGACTGTTTGTCAGCAGAGCTTTGCCTCCCAGCCTCATAGAGACTGCACTTATATCTAGAAAAGACAGTTCATAAAGCAGAGGACATTGACATGATAGAGGTCACATTATCTGCAATTAGATGGCCACCTGGATATAGGCCATCTCATTTCTACCAGGTAATATGTCTAAGAAAATAATAAAAAAAAAACATTTCTGCCATTGGGTGATATGAACAGTACTCAGCACATAATTCACATAAAAGAGAGTTGTATTTCAAGTACAATAAACAGAGTTTTATAGATACCGTCAACCCAGCACTTTGGCACCTGATGGCCACTTTACCTTATTAGGCCATATATCACCTATATTTCAGCAAGAGTCCAAGGAACAAGAAAAAAAAAATCTTTTAAAAATGATGCCAGATTCTTTTGTCTAAGGAAGATATTAATGCATTTATCTGATGTACTGTTTTTTGCAGTAGCTAGAATGAGATTTGAATATATTAATATTTTCAGCAGCAGAGCCCAGGGAGCCCAGTTAATAACTTATGCATGGATACATAGATATACTTCAGACAGAGGTAAGGTTTTCAGCTCTCATGTTGGTAATACTTAGAGAGATCGAATGAAAGGGGCTGTTTCCCCGAGTCTTTGTTGTGGGCATGCATTGTGACAGTATGGAGCCAGCGTTCTTCTGGTTGTCTACACAGCCTGGATTCAATAAACTGTTATATATGCATATTATGACAATGTGGTCAAGGAAACCAGATTTTTTTATTCTACCTTCAAGTCCCTATGTAGCCTAAATCTGGTGCTTATTTTTCTTGTCCCCATTCAACATGTTAACATATTCATAATTTGATACAGGTTATGTTCATTTTATAATTAAACTTAAGGACTTAGTTGAGAAACCATTCAGACTATACAGAATAAAAAAATATTTATATTGTTCTATATTGTACTTTAGGGCTCAGTGTGAATCTGAAGTCTCAATTATCCCAAATTGGATGCCATAGGGCTGCCAAAACAAAATGCTACAGGCCATGTGGCTTCAACAACAGAAATTTATTTTCTCACAGTTCTGGAGGCTGGAAATTCAAGATCAAGGTGTGGACAGAGTTGGTTCCAGAGGCTTGCTTCTCTGTTTGGCTTGTAGATGTCCATCTTGTTGCTTTGTCTGCACGAGGTCATTCTTCTGTTTGGATGTCCCTGGTGTCTATGTGTTCAAATTGTCTCTTCCTTTAAAGACACAAATAAGATTTGATTAAGGCCTGCCTTAGCAGCCCCATTCTAACTCAATGACTTTTTACTGGCCCTATTGCCAAATACAGTCACAGTCTCAGGTACTGAGAGTTAGGGTTTTGTTATGTGAATTAAGGGGGACATAATTCAGCCCATATCACAACCAGGGATAGTTTCACACTCAATCTGCTGATGTGCCCCTTGCCAAATGTGTATTTATTTGAGCCCCAAAACAAAACCTAAATTAATAGTTTTAAGACTACAGTATTTTTCCAGTGTGATTTTTTTCAGTCATTTCCTCCATCAGTAAGAAACAATGATGACTTCTAAGGCTTAGAGGAACAGGAAGCAGCCTGGCTTTTCTCACACCTTCTGCGAGATTGGAAGGAAGCAATTGCATGTACAGTAAAGCGTTACCACAGTGCCTGCCTGAGCCCCACCCGCCTTCAGGGACCCAGGCTGGAGGCATAAGTGCCTTCTTCTCCATTACTGTCGCCCTCCATTAGAAGCAGATAATGCAAGAGATATCACTTTCACAATAAAACATTGCACTTACACCACACCTTTCAACTCAGCATTTCCAAATGCTTTAAAAATCATTATTATTTTTATTATTTATTTGTGGAATCCCAGCAGTATACTCAGCACTGGCAAGTACAGTCAAAGCCGCAGAGCTCAGGTCTCAGTTATGTGGACTTTAACCTATGCTCAAGTTTCCCCCTTGCTTTCCAGTAAAGAATCTTAAGGTGGCACGTGCACGTGCATACCTGTGTGAAAAAACAATGGCAAAGTAAACTTAGATATGAGTCCCCCTGCTCCTTATATACCTCAAGAAATTTAGGAAAGAGCCGCTTGTTAGTGTTGTTCCAATAAACTAGATCCAAACAAAGAAAAAAGCAAGAAAGTGGATATGGTTTTAGTCCCTAAAATTCATTAAATGAAAATGAATCACCATAGTCAAGGCATCTACAATAACTATTTTAAAAGTATTATTAAGCAGTATAGGAGTAGAAGTCAATCAGACTCTGATTATTATTCACTGGTTATTATTTCTGGGTTGAATCTGCTTGACCCTGAGTTTAATACAGTTTTCATCAAGTTAAAAGGTCTTAGAGAAACTGGCTGTCCACATTTTCAAACAGGGCTATGGCCTGGTGGACCTCACTTTTGTTTTCCAAGTTTTGATCATGATGGCATATTACACCCACTTCTATTGAAACAATTCTACTGCTTTCCCTGATTTTTACAGAGTGGATAAATGGGGTCCAGACCTTTAATTCTAGAACCTGGTCCAGTGCCTATAACACAGGAAGTGCTCAATAAATGTTTGTGAGATGAAAAAGTAACAAATTTTCAGAGTACTCCATAAGGCTGTCTCCAAATGAATTTGGCACATTTTGTTCCCTCAATGAAGTTATAAGCTAAGACAGATCACAACAAAGCAGAAATACTCCAGATGCTGTTTAAAAACCTAATGAAATAATGATCTAGATTGTTTTAAATCAAAGTGACTGAATACATTTTTAGAAATATATATGTATATGTATAAATGTCAAAAATTTTCTTGACTATTCTTGAATTTTACCAGATAAGGTTTTCTGGAAGAACTATAAGTTTAGGAATGTTTGTGATGATGAGAGGGAGCAAACCTAAGTGTGATCTAGAGCGAGGGGTGAGACCACAGAGAAACAATGACGATGAAAATAACTTTAGAATGTCAGGAAGGCAAGAGAGTGGAGGAAGTAGAGGAATATTAGATTATTTGTAGTATTCTAATGAGAGGTTTTCAAAAAAGGTAAAGACCAGCAGATATAGAGAGCTACTTTAAAGATACAAATGAGATATTATTGATAACATAATTGGGGATATACTAAAGTAGAAATTCTAAAAGGAAGAACCGACAGGGTGCAGTAAAGGGGAGAAAGATATTTTTTCAGTCTCCTCTGTTTAGCCAGCAGTTCTGCATCATCCCCAGAATTGGGAGCTTAAAAAGGATACAACCACTGTAACTGTAGGACCCATGCATTGTGTGTTGAGAGTGAATCACAAAAGGGCATTTCTCATATTAAAGAAAGGTATACAAAAGTTCTTTGCCTTTCATCATGTCACACTGGTAATGGGGAAAAAATATATGCTGTTCTGCATTGGGTTTAAATATCTGGAGCTTCTCAGAGAAAGGATGCTGCAAAACAGAAAATAAGGGGTGTCTTCCAAAAGTGAGTAAACTAAGCCATTTACGAGTTGTTAGCCTCATTATGAAACCCATCAAATAAGAGCAACAGGGCTAGAAATAGAGTTCAAAAGGCAGAATTGCCTGCCTGCCGTAAATTTAAAAAAAAAAAAATTTCTATTGCATGACTTGGCTTATACTGCTCCATTATATTTTGTATTCAGATTTCACACGTTCATATTCCAAAGTGCAGTGTCTCTTTAAAAATGTAACTGTTGGATTTAAAATCAGGAAGATCAGGAAGTAGTAAAGTGACTTCACAGAGAGACGCATATGGAAGGTTTTTGTTTTGGGGGGGCTGGGGAAGAGGTTGGTTTTGTTTTTAGTTCTGTGGAATTTCAGTCCAATCAACACCTAGGCCACTCCTTTCAAAAAAGAAGAAGGAGAAGAAAGCCCTTTCTTTCTTTCTTTCTTTCTTTCTTTCTTTCTTTCTTTCTTTCTTTCTTTCTTTCTTTCTTTCTTTCTTTCTTTTTTGATTCAGTGTGCAGAGAATTTCTTGCAGACATCTGGGAGTTTAACTAGAGACATCCAAAAGGCAAGTAGAGGTGGAGGAGCCATAGGGAGCAATAATTGACCTTTGTTCTCATTTTCAGAAGGAAATAGTATGTAGCTTTTTCCCACCAGCAGGAAGTTGTTTAAACTTCTCATTTCAAAGATGAGCAAATTTGGGTCCTTCCCAGGTCATCAAGTCACTATGTAGAAACTGTAACCCATGTTGACTATAGTTATGAGAAGCAAATGGAAATGAACTACTTTAAGGCACTTGAACTCTACCCGACAGAGTAGAGTTTAGGGCATCATTTTAGGGCATCAAATACAATTAGGTTTTTAGATTTTGGGTTCCCAATAGGGGTAATTGTATTACATAGGTCCCCTTGCTTGCTATAAACCTACCTGCTATTCTTCATTGTCCTAATCATGGCGTTCTAACCATTACTTCCATTCATGAGTGTTTCAGGGCGCGAAGTGAATGAATGTTCTCACCAACCCAAATTATGCCTCATGCATCACCATCTCTAAGAACCATACATTTCATCCAAACAATTTCCCTCCAAACCAGGTTCCTCTTTACTCTCCTGCTATCCCAGATTCGACTTCTTTCAAGGTTCTAGCTCAAGGTTCAGCTTCTTAAGATCTGCTGATCAGAGATCTGATCCTCTCTGCAGAGATCTTCCTCTATTCTGAATTCATGGTTACTCCTACAGAGGTGAATTTGACACTTAAATAGACAATAGTGAAGATAGTGCAAAGCTCATTTTTATTATTTTTTGATTCTTGCCAAATGCCTAGCATGAATACACAAATTTATAGAGCACTAAATATATGTCTCACACTTTGCTGAATATTTTAAAATATATGATATCAATTCAACAGCCATGTAATTATTGCCCTCTACTATGGAACCAAAATCTAGCATCCAGAAAGAAGACATTATTTTTTTTAGTTCACCCAATAAAGGGTGATGGGATCAGTATTTGAAATGTAGGCCTGTCTGAATCTAAAACTTCTCAGCTCAACTTGTGTCTTAGTAACTTGCACATAAAAATTGCCAAATATTTGTGAATCCGATAGATGAACAAATGAAATATGGTAGTCCCCTTTTATCTGTGATTTTGTCTTCCAATATTTTAGTTACCTCAATAAATGGCAACCCAAAAATATATAAAATAGAAAATTTCAGAACTAAACAATCCAAATTACATGCCATTCTGAGTAACAGGATTTAGTCTCTCAACATTATGCTCCATCATGCCCAGAACATGAATCATACCTTTGTCCAGTGTATTCATGATGTGTATGTGACCTGCCTCTTAGTCACTTAGTAACTGTCATGTTCAGATTTACTGTCACATTTGGAAGTACTTGAGTAATTCTAATTTCACTTAATAATGGCACCAAACATAAGAGTAATAAGGGAAAGGAGGCACAGGGGTTTAAAACATGAAGGAACAAATTAACACTGGTACTAAGTGGCAGCATTACAAGACATATAGGGAAAAATACATAGTATTTGTTAGGTTTGGCACTACCTGAATTTCAAGATTTCACTGGGAGTCTTGGAACATATATCCCCATTGAATAAGAGGAAATAGCAGTATATGAAACCTGATTCCTGTACCAATCTTACTTGTAAAAGAAAAAATAACAAGAAATCCTGAATCTTGATGCCTCTGGATAGATATGGTCAGATAAAGAGCATAAGGAAAGCAGAAATATTCTTAGAAATTAACAGTAAAAAAGCCGAGCACAGTGGTGCATGCCTGTAATACCAATGGCTCAGGAGGCTGAGACAAGAAGATCATGAGTTCAAAGCCAACCTCAGCAAAAATGAGGCACTAGGCAACTCAGTGAGACTCTATCTCTAAATAAAATACAAAATAGGGCTGAGATATGGCTCAGTAGTCGAGTGCCTCTAAATTCAATCCCCAGTACCCCCCCCCCCAAATAAAGAAAATTAACAGTAAAGTCAATCAATGGACATCCTATCTGGAAGTAATATGATCCACCAAGATTGAAGCAAGACTTGAATTAAAACTGGCTGACATTTAGCAAGCATGTGGACTTGTTAATACTTGGAATACTCCACTATCCTTACATCTTATTTTCCATTCACTTTGGTTTTCTTGCTCATTTTGAACGTATTTTAATTTTTATATATTGTATACATTTTTTAAATACATTATTTATTTAATAATGTGGGAGTATACATCAAGTCAATACATAACAAAATAAAACATTAAAGTAAAATTGATTAGAGTTAGAGTAAGTTCAGAAATATTTACTTAAATGGTAGACAAAGGTGACTCACGGCTTCACATAGGACTATGATTGTGAAGTTGTGTTTTAGGGAAAGTCTAAAATGTGTGTATGGCATTTCAGGAGGAATTTAAATGATGCAGATGGTCAGTATTAAATACGAAGAATGTAAAGACCATTATAAGAAATGTGAGATTGTCATAGAATAAAAGGTGGGGGTAAACCTCACTAAATGGTGCAAATACCTGCTAGTTTAAAAATGATTTTATCCTAAAATATCCTAAGATTTGCAAGCTGATATTTTAAAACAGAGATGAGGGCTGCATAAGACTGAAAGATATGGTTTTCATTAAGTTTCTTAGCAAAATAATATTAAGGAAAGAGAAGGCTCCCCTCCTTACCTTTTTTGCTTGCTTATTTGCCTTTTACTTTTTCTTTTTTGGACTCTGATCTCACCAGATGGCACCTTTTCCTGTTGCCATTGCCGAGCTCAACTGTTTCCCAAGGAGAGGAAGGCTAGGAGCCACTGTGCTCCTCCAGTCATGTCACATGAATATATCCACTGGGGTGTGGCAAAGTAGCAGTGATGTTGAGGAGATTCCTGGTTCAAGGGAACAGTCTTAGTTCAAAGAATAGGTCATGAACAAGAAGTGAGTTAGGAAAAGAGAGTGCTTCTGATCAAACCCTCATTGTTCTCTGCTCTGGCAGTGAGCATCATTGTCTAAAGCAAGTTCTCAAGGACCTCAGAAGAATCAGTCAAGTACTTTCTAAGAACACTGAAAAGGAGAGGTATCTTATTTGTTTTAACTATAGGCTTGTGTGTGATCAAATAAAACAGATCCCCGAAAAGTCTTTTTCCAGTTGTATACATTTTGGAGACTGAAGGTCGTTCAGAAGTCATATAATCTGTGTGGACTGAAGGTTTGGTACTGAAGAACCCAGACTTCTAGTCCCAATTACATCAGTGAACTTTGCCTTCAGTTAAGGATTTCAAATCTCAGCTAAAAAAATAAATAAATAAAGTGTCCCCACTTCATTTTTTTTTTAATTGTGGTGGTGATTTCAGCAAGCCTATTCCCCAATTCATGTGTATAAGCCAAGCTACCATAAATTTTTAGTCAGAGGCTGTCTAAATTTATTCATAGGTTAGAAAATTCATTTCTATTTTTTTATTTGCTCAGTCTATGGGATTATAAAGCTATAGAGTTTTTCCCTTTGTTAAGGCGGTTGGTTGCCCCTACCCATTAAGACAGAAAGTGTATGTGTGTGTCTTGGAGGGGACTGGAGAGAGTATGAACAATACCTAAAATTGAATTTCTAGGAGTCTTGATGATATTTAAATACAAACTATCATAATATCTATGATATGTTTTTCATGAAAAAAAATTAATTTTTAGAGAAATGTTTTATCTAATTTTTTACAAAAAATATTTCTACAAAAATTTCTTTTCAGAAATGTTTTTATCTAGATTTATTTTTACAAAAATTTAATTATAATCTTGCAAATCCAGCAAATTCAAGTAATTCTTTACTCTAAATTTAATTTGCTTTTATGTTGGCCTACCTTCATTCATATGTTAACATTTGAGCTTGATCTTTTCCAGAAGTGTCCAGCCTAACTAGCGGAGGATGTGAGGGCAGTGCCCACCTCAGTTTTGATGTGCATGAACAATAAATTCCCCTTCAGACCATCATAGTCCTTTCCTAGCTAGAGATAGCCAGGGGCGGCAGCAAAGGGTGAAGGAGATCCATCATGAAATGTCCAGTGTCAATGTGTTCTCTCGATTTACTTACTGACCTTCAGCTTGCAGCCACCCTCCTGACCCTCGTGAGAGGGAGCCTAAGGGGAAATGGCACTGAGTACCGATTCCTATGTCCTGTTGTTCTGTGGTCTCAATTAAGTGCTAATTAATTACCACTGGCATCTTTGGCATTGCTTGTCAAATTGTATTTAGAAGTATCTTTTCAGTGTTTAAATATCAGTGATCCAAGATCCACAGCTAAAAAAGCCCACGTGTTACTATGTCCTCTTTTTTCCCCCTTCTCAAAACTGTTTAAAAATTCAACAAATATATCTATAGCCACTGCAGGTAGCTTTCAGATACAACAAACAGGAATTGGTATTGTCGATTTTGATTAATAGTACTTCATTAATAAACATCCTGTTATGCAGTCTCCACCTGCAGTTGCTGATGTTGCCTGGAATCAATTAACTCATATAATTTGATTTACTTTACAAAGACATTTTGGGATGTGCTGTGTTGATGATAAAGGTCCTATTTTAGCAGTTCTTGATTGCAAGTTAGATTGTACCTGAATGGATTCCTTTTTCTATGTGGATGTGTATACATGAGCATGTGTTTTGCAAGAGAGTAGGGAGAAACTATTCCTTGAAGAAGTCTTGAATTAAAAAATTCATTTTAAAACATCATAGGGGGTATTCCTCCTGAATATCCTGACTTTATCTGAAGATTCCTAAGAAATACAGATTCTGAAATACTATGTATCCTCTCTCTTAATCAAATCCTTTTATTTAGCAGATTAGTGAGTCTTCCTTTAAATCAAATAACAAAGTAGTATTATTGCTAAGCACCAAACTCAACACCAGCTAGGACTAAGATTTTAGAGGCAAATATTAGATTTAGCTTCATGTACAATTTTATTTTGCTTTGCTTTGGATGAAATTTCTTTTTTTTCTCCTAAATATTTACTAGCCACAGTTCTGGATCAATTCACCTGATCCACATTATGTAGTATGTTCAAACATATCTTAGAGTTCTATGGTAACATTTTGTGCAAAAGAATACAGCTCAACTCCCAATTGTTTGGGCAAAAAATAGTTGTTATAACTGAACATTCCATGATGAGATGTGACTTTGGGTATGACTAGATCCAATCACCAAAGGCTATTGCCAGGAATTTGCCTCTTTCCATCTCTAGCCTCTGCTCACCTTGGGGTTAACTTTGTTTTGATTTAAAAATATTTCCTCCTGGCAGCAAAATGGCAGAGCCAGGATTGTATCCTATCAGCTTAGCATCCTTGGAGGCATGTAAGGTTCTCCTTTGCTGTGGGAACAGAAAACTCCCAGGAATCATTCCCATGGCCTGGCATGGGCGGCTTGTTTACTCCCTGTTTGTTCCTGATCGGTTCTCTATGGCAGAGGAATGCATGACTCTCATTAGTGGAGCTTGGGACACAGGCCCAGCCCTGGGCTAACTTCATTCAAACAAAGAGACCAGAATGGGGAAGATGCAGTTTCCTCCCAAACATGATCTTACTGAAAGGAATAATGACGAGAAGACAAAACTGTAACACTAGTCCTCAGTTGTAAATCACAACTACAATCTTTTTTTTTTCCCCAAACAAACTATTCTTATATGATCTTAATGACAATAATAGTTCAATTAATAAAAGTAAAGGAAGGCTAATTCACATATGATACACTGTAAAGTGTCTAGAATTAAGAAAAGTTGCTCTCTCCCATTTTCTAGCAAATCGACATTAAGTCTTATTAAGAAAATTGAGGTAATATTCATCTATCTCTGCATTTATTTATTCACGTAACACAAATGAGTACCTATGGTGAGACTGGCACTGAACTATGTACTAAGATTTTGACAGTAAATATGACAGGTCCACAAGGAACCTGTACGTGTAATCAGAGATAAGACTTCAGAACAAAATAGAACTTGGTCCCAATCCCAGATCTTTTATTTATATGCTGTGGGTATACCTGAAGTTCTCATTCCTTCTTATCTTCAGTTTCCATATCTAAAAAGAGGTATACCATGAGAATTAACTGGGGAATATATGCTATATGCTGAGCATATAGCCATGGACATAATGCAGTTCTTTCAAAATTAATAATTATTATTTTACACATCAAATGTGAAGATGCAAGCAAATCACTTCACCCAGTGCCTGGTACATAGTATGTGCTCAGGAAATGATAACTGGCAGCTACTGTAACATGAAATAGAATGAAGGAATCAATCTAAAGATAACAAAATTTAAAAACACAAGCAAAATTATATATGATAGATTTGGAAAAGACTTTGCAAGATCGATGAGACCAATCACCACCCACAGAGAAAACTCTAGTAATTTTAGATATAACCAAATTTATCTTCTCTCCAAAGAAAGTGTTCCCAAAGCAACTCTCTTCCTTTTTGCTCTCATATTTCATCAGTTTACATAATATTTAATTAAATTACATAATTACAATAATAAGTACAACTGGCATAAACTTGTTTGGGATTCTCTCCTGGGACTTCCCTCTAGTGGGAACAGATGTGCACAGTTGAGAGCCATTAACTAGTTGGGAACATTGAATGCATTGTGAGCAATGGTCAGTGTATTTTACAGAGGAAACAGAGAGCAAGATGAGTGGAAGTCAGCCAAGGGTGATGCCACTATGTGGGTGGGGTCCTAAGCATTCTCTTTCTCTACCTGAATACTCCCGACTCTTGAAATTTTGCCTCAAGTTTGACATATTTGTTTGTATTTTATAAACATCCCTCCATAGCCAATATGCTCAAAACTCCATAACTAGAATTTTAAATACACTTCCATATTCAGGTTTTTGTTATTTTATCATCACTACTACATAATGGACAGAAAACAGCAAGGTTTTAACATTAGTAGAACATGGAGAAAGACTTCTTGGTGCTGCCCTAAGTTCACACATCTTAAATAGTAGGTTATATATGCATTTCTTAAAAGGAAACAATGAAAATTTGTTGCCCAAATTTAAATGACACTATGATTTGGATAGGATCTAAACGAAAATAAAACATGCTTGTTTAAAGATACCTGACCTTGTGACTAGCCAAATGCATGAAATGAAGGGCCATTCTCTTCATCCTTTGTGGTGATTTTATGAAGAATTTTGAGATCTATTTGTTTATTGCATTGTAGTACTCAGGAAATGGAAAGCAGTTATAGTATACATAGTTTAAACTTGGGAACCTTAGAGGATTAATGATTCTGTGTTGTTTTAGGTAATACAATATTCATTAGCAGCTGGAATCTAAAGTTCTTATTGGTAAGTGGGTAATTCTGCTGAGAAGAGTATTATGTATATAGTTTATTATGTGCCTTAGGAACTTGAAGTTTTATGATCAGAGAAGAAAATAAGCTATCATGTAGAACTAGTCAAATCTAGGAGGAATGTGCCTTTCACTGGTAACTTGTGAGGTCATTTAAGTTCCTAAATGGCAAAGACATATTCCAATTCTCAATTGGATGTAAGAAGATTGGGATTGTCTTACCCCAAAATCAGTGGCATCCCCAGCAGACACCGTCATTGAACAGGGTGGCTTCCTGTTCAGAGTGACTTGAGCCAGATCTCCCAGATTTTTGTTTAAGCATCATGATGATGGACTGATATCATTTTTTGTGAACTACATTCTCTGTAGTCACTATACAGTCAAACATTTTGGTATAAACAACAACTTAAAGATTTATAATATTTTTGGTGAGAAAAAAAGATTTGTGAGCAAAAGCATCATTTTTGCTTTTACTTATTTTCTTTCTTAATCTATGATTTATATTAGTTACACAATGTAAACCACATGCTTTGTTTTATAAAGAACTTACATTCAATTACAATTGCACAGACTGGAGCATTCTTGGGTTTAAATGCCACTAGTTTGTCCTGTTCTTTGGTTCAAACTCCACACTGGTCCAAACAAATATTACAAAGCATAGCCAGGTCTACTCATTGGGAAAATTAGGAATATTTTGGTAAGTAGTCATGGATAACTTTGAATGAAGAGAACTGGGGAAAAAAGGTTGGAACCAACGTAGCAGAGGAATAGTGTGTCCTATGGAGGAGCCAAGATTTTACCTGACAAAAAAACAGAAAGCCACTGATGGCTTTGAGCAGAGAAGATGGACCCACATGATGAAGTCAAGAGAATCCAACTGCATGCAGACTGTTTTGGAAGGTTCTGTGACCTGTGTTTAGGGACAGGCAGTGATGCAGATTATGTAAACTTGGAAGAACAGAAATAGCCAACAGCTTGGGAGAAGATGGCAAAAATTAGATGAGAGAGTCAAGCACCCTAGCAATACAGCTGGAGTTCAGAGCTAGATTCTCATACTCAAGGGGAAATGAAAGGCAGAACCAAGAATTAAAGCCACAAGCAGAAGGACCATTTAGAAAAACTGGCCACAGACAGCTCAGTCTAGCCACATCTTGGAAATGATGAGCTGACAGGATGATAAGATGAAAAACGTGGGTACAGTCAAAGCAAGCAAAAAAATGGCACCAAGAACTTTAGAAAATGCCCTTTGTCTATTCGCATCATTCCCCTTGAAATTAAAACAAAATCATTTCAATTCTCCACTCTGATGAAGTTAGAAAGCCAGCATCTCTCAGGCTACCAGAAAGTCATTTCTGGCCTGATTTCTTGGGTCTCTAAACCTTCAACTCATCCATGCCTCACCACTGGCCAGTGTTCCCTTATCTTGACTGTTTCTATGCTCTTATATCCAAAAATTCACTCCAGACCACAGCATTAGTAGAATTTTCCTGAATATTCACAAGGAATAGAAAGATTACATCACTTCCAAGCTAGTGGATAATTTAAAATGTAAACGTGAATAATAGGCATTTCTCATATTGAAATGCACCTCCATAATTCTCACCCCTTACTCCTCTAAGGAATTTTCACAAATTGTCTTTTCCATTGGGTCTCCAACTTCTCACCATGCCCTCTGCCTCAAAACTATAGTTTTATAAAGGTTTCTATAGGTAATTTTTGCACACAACCCCAATAAGGCAAGTTTTGGGGGTTTCACTCAGATAATTTGTTTATCATTTTCCAAATTGTTTTCACAACCAAAATGGTCCGTCAAAAGGTTTTGCTAAGCAAGAAAGGAAAGCAGATGATTTTTTTCTCCTCTAAGTAGGATTTTGCTGCCAGCTATTAAAATAGCATCTTCCCTAGTATACTTGGTTGAGCATAATTAGATCTCTAACTTAGGTATGGACTAATACATCTAAAGTAATTTGCAGATAGTCTACTGGGCTATCCTTGTATGTGTGGACCCTTCTGACTACCACTGTCTGACTACATATTATAAACAAGATATGTCAAAATCTACCTCTTGACTTTTTGTGACAAGTAGAAATGTAATCTTACCAGCATGGCAATTCCCTTGAGCCATTATACATGCAAAATATTTCCTCAGTTGAAAAATGCTACTGGAGGATTTCACTGAGAACTCCTATAAAGAAATTCTTGAAATTACAGTGTGGAGACTAGTAAAAGTGCATTGCAATAAGAAGCAATATTCTTACCAGGCTGTAGATACCATTTGAGAAATTTACATCTTGAAATAGTGTCAGGTGGTGGTGATAACAAGTGTAATGTCAGAGATCTGCCAGGTCTGTCAATTGATCTGGTCCCAGGTAAAGCAGGGACAGTTTACTGTCTTATTGCAAGATAAATGTGGGCCCCCAAACTGTCAGCAGAGAAGCTATTTAGTGCCTTAAAAGAAAATGAAATCCTTTGAGGAAATGATAAACATAGTATCTACTTTTCAGTGTGAGGGCTGTATTTTTGTGTTTGAGTCTTGATTTAAACTGCCTGTTGCTTTTCAAATGCAGAAACCATCCCTCTAATTTTTTCAGAATATTAAAATTATAGAAAATTGAAACAACAATAACAAAAAAAACAGGTAAGTATTTAGCAGTTGTATTCAACCCCCATATTATTATTGTGAAACTGTTTCAACATCCTGTCCCTCATCCCCTCCCACATATTTGTCCCACCTAAAATCACGCAACCAAACAATGACAAAAACATGAAAGGACCAAAGCAACTCACCGGCATTGACCAGTAGTGGTCCCTTGGCAAACACAGTGAAAACATCACCTTGGCAGGTGACAGACACTTGGGCCTTGGCTAGGGCATTAGTGAATGTTAATAAGGACTAATTAGAGAGTTTTGTTGAAATATTTCCAAAGAAATGAGCAAAATGAAGCTGACCTAAAGAAAATATTTTAAGATCTCCCACTGAGCATGCTCAGAGAGAGCATTTTGACTTCTTTTATTTTTAAAATGCTCAACCATTTTCTTCAAAAACTTGGCTTGATCTTCCTGATTCAGTGATAACTGAAGTCATGCCAACTTTGATGTTTTTAGCTTCAGCTGTTTTAGAGCTATATGTGATCCCCCCAAAAAGGTTGGAAGATTTTTTTTTCCTGAGCGAAGAAGGAAGCATATGTTTTAACCCTCATGTGCCTTTTTTGAAAAGGATGAATTAACATCCGATAATATTTTATCTTTAGGCTTAAAATAAAGAATTTAGATTGAAAGTTAAGAAGACATTTTTCAGAAATTAAAATGGAGAGTTGGGCGTTAAGAATCTAAAGCTATAGATTTTTATCCATCTTACCAAATACATGCGACCGCTTGCATGTCTGCCTCTATTGTTTTGAAAATGGCAGCAGAGACAAGGCAGCTTGGAGACTTGAGCAAGAAGGACCACACACAAATGGAATTTCAGGACATCAAAAGAACATAAAACTAATGTGCAGAAACACTGGAGCATCTTGAATACATTTTTTTCTAACCAGATATATGACATAAAGAATTGGAAATAAAAATGAACTCAGAAGGCTTTAATCTACCTGATGATCTGGTTTTCCCTTCTAATTTATGGAAACAGAAAGAGAGAAATAAACAATGAAATAACTGATCCTGTTGAAGAAGAGGGCACTTAGAGGAGAGAGTTATCAGGGAGGCTTCTGAGAGACATGTCTACATCCTTTTCTGCTACTGTCCATGCCAATGCTTTGTCAGATATCTCTTGGGATAAACTGGTCATTGGGCCTCTGTATGATATACCAGAGAGGGTAAAAAATGGAATCAGCATAACTATGTCACAGTCAATCATTACCTATAAAGGTGATATCACAAGGGTCTCAGTGATGCAGGTGAGGTGTGTCAGATGGCTTCCAGCAAACTTTGATGTTGGTACAAAGCAGACCTGAAAAGTGGTTTTGGACTTCAGGTGGAGTGTTTCCCACATTACTGCAGATGGGAGTGTTAGATGCTGCCAGAATCTTCTCATCAGATGTAGGTCATTTTTGCAGATGATTGTGCAAGGCCAAGTCTAGAAGTCTAATAATATCAAGTTAAATTGTTCTAAATCATAATTCCCACTATATTCTGGTATGAACCCAAAACTCTGGAAAAACAACAAAAGGAAAGAATTGGTAAAGAAATGACAAATGTCTCACTCTCTTACAATGTCAAAAGGACTATTGGCAGAAAAATTGAAACCAGAATGAAAGAAAGGTTTAAAAGGAAATTGAGTCTGTGTTTACGAAAGGATTCCAATTCTGAGTGAACTGTCCAACTCAACCAGTTGCTTTAGAGAAACATGATTAAAGTGATGACTGAGGTGTTTTGTGTCCTAGCCTCAGTTTCCTTTATTCCCCTCTGAGTCCAGTGACAGCCAATCAGAAAGGAACCTGGCCTGGAGGCTTGTCAGTGATAATAATTGAAAACATCTGTCCATGTAGCAAGTGTGGGAAGCCAGTGCGGTTCCCTGACAGAGGGAGTTCTCAGGCAGCAAAGCCATAACCACCACTGTGCTCAGATTCTCCTTCACAGGCTTTTCTCACTGCCAGCTGTCTTTATTCTCCTGCCAGGAAAGCAAGGGGCCTGGGGCTCTGACCCAGGCTGGGGTTAAGTGAGCTGGGACTGGGGAAAGGAGGGGGACAGACTGGCTCATAGCTCTGGGTATAGAGACAACGGATATCTGATTGGGAATTAAAGAGCCCAGTGGCTGACAGAAAAGAATGGCAAACAGAGACACCAAACAGGCAACAGGAAGGACAGATAGACCACCATATAAGAAGAGTTCAGATTCTAGACCCAAGTAACCTGGGTGTAGATCTTAGCACATCTATTTCAGCATGACAGCCAGTCATCTCCATAAGCCTCAAGTTTTTCAATTTTAAAATGGGCAATAATAATGGTACCAGTCTCATAAACTTGTTGACAGGAGAAATAAGATAATATACCTTGGTGACACAATGCAAAGATTGAACATGCATTAGCTTCCTATCAGAAAGCAAGTGGCTCTCCAGACAGCCATTGAGGTGCAGAAATGCAGAGGCAGAGACCTTACTGAGAGTCCTGCTATCTCTCTCAGGAGAAGGGAAGTCCCTGCTGATGGTGTCATAGAGGATTGTATAGTTGGCACTTTGTTCCTAAAATATTATTCAACCCCTGCCTGTGGCCTTTCTTAAAATACTTAACCAACCTGTGCTGCTGAGTTTCTGATGATCTCGGTGCTGGCCTCTTTCTGCCCTGAGAGCCACACTCTGGACTGAACCAGCTTTTGGTCAGACTTACCTGGCTTCCCCTCACTCCTAGTGCACCCATAGCTTGTTCCCCTGCCCCAGCAGTCTGAAACATACCAAGGGATCTCTGGTCAGAAAAATTCTAGTAAACGTTATTTCAGCCAACTGAGGAGAAAATTCCAGATTTTAGGTTAAAGATTATTGAAAGCAAGGAAAGTTGAAGCAAGACGAAGAAACAAAATAAAACTCTTAGTAGGAAGTTTGAGATATTTTTCCACCTGTGGGGATGGGATAGGGAGAAAAAACTTTATTGAGAATATAACCAGTAGATTTAGAAAGAAAGCATAAACAAAGGACTCTAAAAGACAACATTTAGAAATATCAAATTATCCACATTATTTCATTGTTTAAAATACACTCTACATAAATTAATCACCCCTGGAAGCTGCATTAACAGCCACATCACAAATGTATTTATAGTTCACTCAGAGCTATTTGATATATGATGTTAAGTTGGAAACTAGAAAGAATAAATCCAGCTTGCAAAGAAGCAGAACTTACTTGTAGGGTGGATCTTAGTTCCTGAGAAAATCTCGCTCAACACATGGGTGGCAAGAAAGAATACAAAAGGAGAGACTTGGGGAGGCCACTTCATCTCATTAGTCAGGAACAGTTCTGTATTGTATATGTATCCAACATAAACACTTGGCTGAGGATGTTATTCTACTGACAGTGTTTGCCTTTCCTTATGGTCATCAGCTGGGTGACTACTGCTACTTGGCTGAGAAACACTTCATCCATAAAGAAAAGCTCCATAAGTAATAATGAGTGTGAGTTTGTGTTCATTGCAAAGCAAGAATTCAAATTCAACAAGAGACTTTTTTTATCCAATCGAAGTGAACCAAGCTGCTTAACCTAATTGAGCTTCAATAAATCAGGAGTGTTGTGATATCAGTAATCCTCCTAGATAAGGCATTTCAGTGAGGCACCACCCAAGAGTGCAAATGCATAAACACAAAATAGACTCCGTCAACACTGTTCTATTCAGCAGCTCTGTACATCTCCTGTACTCTCTCTATATAATCACTATTGCAATAAAATCGTCACTTAATGGTTGACATTAGTAGATCTCTGTGACCACTGAAAGACTCTGGTTGTCCTTTAGTTGACTCTTCAATATGCATATATCACCACAGACAGATATGGTCTTTTGATAAACAAGAAGTCAACAAAATATGGGAGAGGTGAATGTACATCTACGGAGAACTGAGTTTCTTAAAAATACTTAGTATGAAGTTTGTAATTTTTTTAAATAAGAAGCTGGTCTATATGTACTAACCTGAAAGGATTCTGAGGTGTATCTCATTTGTATAGATTTTTTAAATTCTATTTTAAATATTCATCATCATAAATTTCTTGTGATATGTCCTAAAGTCACCATTTTTTACACCCCTATCCAACCTATATTTTCCTCTTTCTGTGTTCACTTCTTAAGAGCAATGTGGGTCAAATGCACCATGCCTCCCAAGTTCCCAGACTCCTTCTCATACAGGAACACCTCATATTACTTCTGTAGAGGTTTGCAGTTTCCTTTTGAAATTACTCTTCCACAGAATGGCATGTTCTTGGCACAGGTGCACAGTCCTCCATTCCCAAGCCCATAGAGGCATCATTGATTAATCATATCACCCTTTCATATGGAGGCTTCAACTTCCCCAGGGAGCAGACAGCCACCATGCTGTCTCCAGATAGAAGTCTCTTCATCCAATGCCACCATTCTTTCCTAGGTATTATGAAAATGAAAATAAGGACTTCAGGCACGCCCTTATGCTTCCAAGAAAACAGAAGGTTCATGTCTGTTTTTTTTTAATCTCTGGTGTCTGCCTTTCTGTTTCATTCTTTATTTTAATAAATAAATGTATATCTTATAGTAAAGATTTATATACACACCACACATATAATATATAAAGTATGCATAAACATATATTTTAAATATACACATATATATGCAAGATAGTACTACAAATGCCTTACAATTCAGGTTTCGCTTATTTTGCAATTGAGGGCTACGCCTGCAATATGTTTCTGAGCTTGTCAACTTTCCTTACAAATTATTTCAAGTTAGCAGACGAAAATGGTGTTTCAATTTGTTAAAAATTGAATTTCAAGTTAGCAGAAGAAAGTGGTATTTCAATTTGTTAAAAATTGAATTTGCAGCACAAGGAAATTAGAACTCTTCCAGCCCAACTGTCGGATATTCCAAATAAGGAAACTGAGGCTGAGGAAGGCTAAGTGAATGCCCATAGTCCCAGCGATAGTAAAAGTAAAGCCAGGAGAGAAAAACAAAGGTGTCCATTTCCTTGTACTAGTTGATCTTTCATTCCAGTCACATGCACTAATGAGGCTAAAGCTTTATTGAATTACTGTGTTTGTCCAAGTTCCAATGGTAGTCTCGTGGATCTCCATACAAGTCTATGGATAATGAAATGGATTATTTAGACATTCTCTTCTACATATATTCTCATTTAGATTATGACATCATTTAAATTTTTATCTTGTGTAGACTCTCCTTTGGATTATGTAGACATTTTCTGTAAAGAGCCAAGACTTTTGAAACCAAACCTCATGATTCCTGCATTCTATTTTTGACACCTTAACCTAAAGTAATTTCACACTAACTCCTAAAAATTTTGAAAGTAGAACATCCAAAGATGATATTTTGCACGTACTGAATTCCCTACCCCCCCAATCCCTCTAAATGTCATATAATACTGTTGCATTTCCAAATTATATTCTCCAGTCATCCTCTATAATTTTTTTTCAAAGAAAGTTAAAAGAGAAAAAAAAAAGGGGGAGAAAGAAAGGAATGGCATAGAAAAGAAAGACTCAACATCTTTCCTGACTAAACTCTGCTTTGCCTCCTGGACTTAAAAGAGAAAATGACAAAGAATATCTGGGGCCAGCTCTGTTCTGACTGCAGATAGAAAAATATTTAATTCAATCCAGTTCCATTCTGCTGGAGCAAAAGCTCAACCTGTTTAGCCACACTTGCAGCATAAAACTATTTGTAAT